AGGATCTGATATTTGTTCTCTAAATTGTGTTTCTTTTTTAAATGCATTTTTATGGTATATACATACTTGAGATACACAACATGATGTTTTGATGCACATATACATAGTGCAATGTTTTATAGTCAAGGAAATAAGCACATTTATCACTTTACATAGACACTTGGTGTGTTTATGAATCTTGGTGATCAGAGCACCTCAATCTTTTCAGATTTTCTACATGCAATAACATTATTTACTTTAGTACACACCCTGATTTACTCATGCTATCCAATGTTTCCTTTAGAATTTTGACCTACATTTCCCTAGTTCATCTGTAACTCTGACTGTTTACTGTAGTTCTCTTGTGTTTCTATTTATTCATTTTTTTTTTTTTTAGTTTTAGCACATGAGTAAGATCATACAATATTCTTTAGTCTGAGTTTGGTTTATTTCTATTTATCCTAATGTCCTTCACTTTCATCCATATTGTAATAAAAGCCGTTATATCCTTCTGTATTAGTCAGCTGTTTGTCACTGTGACCAAAACATCTAACATATACATCTTAGAGGAGAAAAACTTATTTTGACTCCCGGTTTCACAAGTTTCAGTCCATGGTTGGTTGCCTCCATTGCTTTAGGTATGAGGTGAGGAAGAACATCAAGGCAGAAGGATGTGGCCGAGGAAAGCTGCTCAGTTCTTGGGAACCAGTAAGCTAAGTGAGAAGGAAGAAGGGGCTAGGGAGAAGATAGAGTCCCAACGGTCATGCTCCCAGAGACCCACTTCCTTCCACCATACCCCTCCTGCTTACAGTTTTCCACAACCTCCCAGTAGTCTATTCAGCTATTGATGGAGTAATCCACTGATGAGGTCCAAGCTCTCATGACCTCATTATTTCCCTCTAGCGGCACCTCTGAACCTTGTTGCATTGAGGACCAAGCTCTTAACACAAAAGACTTTGGGGGACTTTGTAGATTCAAAACATAATGTCTTCTTCTAAAGATGCAAAGTATTCCATATTATATGCATAGCACATTTTCTTTACCTATTGATCCATTGATGGACACTTAGGTTCATTCTATATTATAGCTGTTATGAATATTGTTTCAATGAACAATGAACACGAATGTTTTTTTAACTTTATTGGTTCTTTTTAATTACACAAGGTAGTATAAATTTATTTTTATATAATCATATAAGGATGAAATATATTTCGTTCTAATTAGGACCCCATTCTTATGGATGCACACAATGGTGGAAGTCACTATGGGATATTAAATACATAAGAAAATTATTTTGGATTCATTCCATTCTTTCCTTTTCCTATTGATGTAGGACAGAAGAGGCTGGACACATAAGGAATTAACATGAAGCAGGTTTATAGGATGCAGCCAGGTCCAGCATGTGGTTTGTGCCTGAAATTCTCCTCTGCACCAAGAGTCTAGAAATCCTTTGAACTCTATACCTAGTTGGGGGAGGAATTTGGAGGTTTACATAAAAGTAATTGTTTTCTTTCTGTGAGTTCTCAGAAAGTGCCTTTTAAGGCCAGACAGGGGTCTTATAAGTCTTTACCAAGAAAAAAAGATAGTATCTTTTGTACAACAAGCTTATAGACTTTTAACTTCATCACACCTTTTGTGTGCAAATCTGGCATTTATAAAACAGAGGAAGCTTCAAACCACAATTCCTTCTGCAGTCATTCTGCCTGCTGATACTCTTTGTAAAAATATTTTTGATGAGAGGAGAAGCTTAATTGTGGCAAGGGTCTTCTGGGTGGGTGGGTGGGGTCTCTGGTCTGCTTTACTATCCCCCATCTTTTCCTTTAATTCCACTTTGTCTAATCCTCTGAACTTCTATTCTTCTCCTCTCCCCACTCACTGTGGCTTAGCTTCCACATATCAGTGAAAACATTTGACCTTGGCTTTTGGGAACTGGCTTATTTCACTTAGCATGATAGTCTCCAGATCCATGCATTTACTTGCAAATATCATAAAGCCATTGTTCTTTAATGATTGTGTGTACTCTGTTGTGTGTATATATATATATATATATCACATTTTCTTTATCCATTCATCTGTTTAAGAGCACCAAGTTCTTTAAACGATCTTTTTTCTTAATTGATTTGGGTTCACCATAACACCAAACTAGAATCCTTCTGTCAGAAACAACTGGGGGTCAGCAAAGTTTACAGCATGAGAGCAGAATTAGATAATTTTACATATTTAAGAATGGTTTTTTATAGAATATTTTTTGAGAGTAGAAAAAGGAATTTAATAGGCATGTTCATGGAACACAGCCTATTCCCAACTGGACGTATCAGGTGACAGAGACCCTAGGCACTGTGAGTAATCCCACATCCCAGGCCTGCTTTCTCACTCTCACCCCTCTGCGAGGTGTCACTCATACTTTATATTGATTTACAATTGTCTGAGTATTAATGATGCTACAAAATTTATTTCATATTAGTAGCCAGGGGAAAAGTTCTATAGCGATTCTTCTATTAAGAAGAGGTGCTGAAGATAGAAAAGTTAAATTTTTATGTTAGTATTATTATTTTTTATTATCCAATTCTTCAAAGAAGAATTCTCCTTAAGGACAGGTTATAAATATGCAAAGATTAAAAGGTAAAACTATGTAACCTGAATATATTTTCAGGAGCTTCCACTCATATTGTGTGACCTTATATACACAATAACCCCATAGAATGGGATGTCATTGTGGATAAGTTGCATCTCTGCAAGGGGAACTTGTTGGAAGTAACAGAGCTGAGAGGCAGCATGACTGAGGTGCCCATCTAAGGGGCTATGACTCCTACTGCTAAGGTGCCATCCTGACTCTGTTCTAGTGATTTTTTTCCTTTTCAAGGCAAATAACTGATTTTCATGCATTTGAGAGACTTCTCTCCTTGTGTTTCTTTCAGATTCTTGACAAAACACTTTGGAAAAAATGATGTTATTAACCATACATTCTTTAGAAATATCTTTTAGTTATTATGTGTCTCTTCCCAGGGTCATCTTCATCCCTTGGCTGGAACTGTGGATCAAGATTTGAGAATAGACTGAGCAGAATTTTGTAGTTAAGGTATCTCTGGGATTGTGTAGAAGTAAGCCTCTCATTTGGTGCAGATTTTTTTTTTTTTTTTTTTTTTTACTTTTGAGGTCCAGAAGCCCATTAATTATTTTAGCAGAAAACTTCAATGATTCTGGAAACTTTTTAGAACTTCCAGAGTCTCCCAGTAGGTACATTTGAAAATATGATATCAAACTCATCTGAGATTTGGTTTAACTATGAGAGAGAAAGGAAATTAAGGGATACATTAAGATATTATCATAACATGTAAAATGTACAGTAAAATCAATATATGTGATCAGATTATTCTCCATGGATGATGCTGACTGTAATTTCTAATCAGGGTCTGAAATATGTTTGTGACCCAGTGAAGGAAACAACAGTTTCTGCTTGGGCCATGTTCATTGAGAGCATTGTCACCAGTGTGTAGTATATGTACTGCAAAGAGTAGCCTCTGGGGTGGGACATTCTAGAGTTCTCTGTTGTGGGTGAACATGTTGCCTAGATGAGTTATTCATGCTGGGTCCCTTGGCATGGAGTTTCCCCAAATTTTATAAGCTTCTAGATCTGATATGTCTTTTCTCACATTCAGAAGCAAACATGCAAAGGGCATTCATTATGATGTCTAGAATTGGGGGTTTTTCAAAATTTAAAAATGATCTGTGGGCTATCTTATATTTGTATTTGTGAATAAAAAAGAATCAAGCTATATTTTGGTCTATAGTTATAATTTTAAAACTGTGACTCTGATGCCAATTCCTGTCACAGAAGAAGTCAGATGACTTATTTTGATGTAGATAATGTACATTTATGGTAGCTGAAGTAATATGTATCCATTGACTGGCTAAACCTTGCCCATGGGTGAATGGCCTCCCACAGCTGCTAGTTTTTTGATACATGTACAAAGTGGAGAATTAGAGAAGTTTTTTTTAGGAGACATAATTTTTATACTACATATTAGTTAATATTACAAAGTTAAGGTGAAAAACTTGAACTGGTAATTCTTTAATCTTTAATCTTTATGAAGATTTTTTTTTAATTGTTGTTTAATTGTTGATGGTTCTTTAATGTAAGCACCAGAAAGTCTACCTGACAGCTTGTACTGGCTTCTTAAAATGCACGGAATATTATCTGCAACACAGATTGGAAATGCAAACAAATTAAGGCATCCTTTAATAGTGAAACAACATTTCAGATGCTGTGCCCTTTAATTGAGACAATTTTATTTTATTTTTAAAGAGAGAGAGAGCGAGAGAATTTTTTAAATATTTATTTATTTATTTTTAGTTTTCGGTAGACACAATATTTTTATTTTATTTTTATGTGGTGCTGAGGATGGAACCCAGCGCCCCGTGCATGCCAGGCGAGTGCATTACCACTTGAGCCACATCCCCAGCCCAAGACAATTTTAAATCACAGAGTCTGCATAGTTTCCTAGAGGGCTAAGGAACTTGCATTCCAGTTATGTTTATGAGCATAATTGTTCCCCCTTTCTTAGAATCATTTCCCCCCTGATTCTTCCAAAAACTAGTTCCAGTTCATCTTTGGTATTCTTCTGAGGGAATCTAACCTAAATAATTAAGTAGAGCTACTAATTCTAAATACATAAACATTTGATTGTTGAGTCCTTATTCAACATAGCAATTTTACTTATGAACCTTCAGGGAAACAAAAGGAATATCATTATATCCTTTCTTGTGGTTAAATAATCACAAGATAAACCATGCAACCTGGTTTGTACACATTGCATCTGTCCCAAAGAACACCATATCACAGTGGATTCACATTTCCAATGGTAGTAAAAGCAATGAGTAAAACTTCTGTGGAAGAGTAGACATATGTTCAGTGAGGTAGATGCCATGTTCTGTTGTCCAAATTAAATGTCAGATGTTCAGGTGGGAGTATCCAATAGGCATATGGATGCACAGTTTTAGAGCTCTAAAAATAGACGTGGTCAGCAAAATCTGTTATAATGACCTTGTTTGTTCAGTCTTTGAATTGATATCTTTATATCTTTGTTTCTTAGTGTATAGATCACAGGATTCAAGGCAGGCGTGATAGCAAAGTCAGCAATGAACAGATACTTGTCAATTGATGACGTGGGGAAAGGCCACACATAGAGAAACATACATGGAGTGAAAAACAGAACCACTACAGTGATGTGAGCTGATAAAGTGACAAGAGCTTTGGACAAGTCCCCAGAGGAACGTTTCCAGACAGTGACCAAAATGAAGACATAGGAAAGGAGGAGCAGGAAGAAGGTGCCCATGCTCATGAATCCACTGTTGGCAGCAACGACAAACTCAAACTTGTCTGCATCTGASCATGCGAGCTGTATGACCCTGGGAAAGTCACAGTAAAAGCTGTCTATTGTATTAGGACCACAAAAAGGTAAGTTCATAACAAATGAAAACTGAGACATAGCATGGATCACTCCTGTTACCCAGCCAATGACTACAAGTAAAATACATCTTTTGGGGCTCATAATGTTCAAGTAATGAAGAGGCTTACAGATGGCTGCATATCTGTCAAATGCCATGGCTATGAGCAGCACCATCTCTACTCCTCCCATCATGTGGATGAAACAGATCTGTATCATACAACCTTGGAAGGAAATTACTTTATGTTCACTTAAAAGATCGAAGATCATCTTAGGAACTGTAGTGGAGGAAACCCACACATCATTGAAGGACAGGTTGGCCAGCAGGAAGTACATAGGAGAATGTAAGTGAGAATCAGCAATCACCAAGAAGACAATAAAGAGATTTCCCAGGATGATCCCTAAGTAGAGCAAGGAGAATGTCAATGTAAGAATAACTCTAGTTTCCCAAGAACTTGAGAGTCCCAGCAGCACAAACTCAGAAACCACAGAGCCATTCAGTCCATCCATTGTTTTGATCATGAGAGCTGGTTTTAAACCACCTGCAGATAGAACATAAAGAGCCAGAATCAGTGGTTCTAACAGGTATTCCACATTTATGCTTCAATTTTTTTCTGTGAGTTGCAAAACCTAGAGTAAGAAAACATATAATTGCCCCCCCCCAAAATAAATAAATAGAAGTAATTAAGTGATGAGCRGAGTAATTACTCAAATGAGACAAAATTATTAATATATTAGATTAATGAAAATGATTCTTTGTATTTTATGCTCCGAGCAGACTTTTTTTTTAAAAGCCTCTCAATGAAATCTAGATATTTTCTTTGACCTATTTTCTAGGTGTTGTCCTAGCCTAAATAGTGTAAGGTGACAAAATATATTCACACTTTAATGCTTTTGGACTAACTTGCAAATTTTCCTGTGCTGAATTTCACATTTCACTAGTTAAACAGAGATTCTTAGGCTAAATGTGCTTAACACATTTCACCCTTTGTAACTGCTTATTTATAACTTAAAATGTTAATTTTTGATAAACCTGTATTAATTGTACATATTTTTGGTGCACATTGTGATATTTCAATATATGAATAATTTGTGTAAGTCACTCTTTTTATCTACCTTCACTCTTAACTCTTTCCTAACCTCTAGTAGTAACATTTAGATCAACTCAAAGTATTTTTCTACTTATAATATGTTCTTTTCTTTCTGTTTCTGGCTTATTTCATTTAATATAATGTCCTCCCATTTTATCCATTTTGATGGAAATGACAAGATTTATTTTTTTATGTCCAAATAGTATTCCATTGTGTGTATCCACAATATATTCTTTATCCTTCATCTATCAATGGGCACGTTGGTTAATTACATTTCTGAGTTATTGTAAATAGTATAGCAATAAATATGGATATGAAAGTATTTTGTTGATATGTTGATTTCATTGCCTTTAGATATATACCCAGAAATGTAATAGCTGGATCATATGGTAGTTCTATTTTTAGTTTTATTGAAGAACCTTCATATCACTTTCCAGAATTGCTATGTGAATATACATTCCCACCCCACCAACAACCTATGAGATTGCTTTTTCTTCACATACTGGCCTCCCCTCCATGTCCTGCACTTGTTATTTTATTTATATTTGTGGTAATAACTATTCTAATTGGAGTGAAATGTATCATTGTAGTTTTGATTTGTATTTTTCTGATGGCTAATGACATTTAACATCTTTTCATTATTTGTTGGGCATTTGTATTTCWTCCTTTGAAAATGTCTATTCATATCATTTGCCTATTTTAAAATTGGAATACTTGGGGGGGGTATGTGGTAAGTTTTTGAGTTCCTTAAAAGTATAAATATTTATTCTTTGGCAAATATTTTCTCCTACTCTGTAAATTGTTTCTTCACCACTTTTTTTTCTTTGCTGTACAGGAATATTTTACTTTGTTGTAATCCTTTTTGTCTATATTTGCTTTTGATTCCTGTGCTTTGGATGTCGTACCCACAGAACTCATTACTTATTCCAATGTCCTGAGAGTTTCCTCTGTGTTTTTTTTTCTGGTAGTTTCATACTTTGTGTCTTACTGTGCATGTTCTGTTTTTGATGGTACAATTTACCATGAAGCCCAGGTGCTTGAGCTGAATTTTTTCACATTTTTTTCATGACACATTATCATCATAATCCATGCCTTGACCTCAACATTCAGTAACTTATGCCTGGGAAACTAAATACCTGAAAAAAAGTAGGAAAAAACCTCTTTTATTTAAATAATAATAATGTTAATGTATAATATTTATTATGTGTCCCCTCCATGCAGAGCTTAGTACTAAGCACACCATCTCCTTTAAAGCTAAAGCATACAAAATTACACATATAGGCACTGTTAAATGAGGCTCACAATATCAACATAGAAACTGAGTCTTGGAGATACAATGCGTCAGGGCCAAGAATAGTGCCCAGAGGTGTAGGACACCACACTGATGCTCCTGGCCATGGATACTGTGCTAATAAGGATATATCTTGCAGCTTTCCCCAAAATCTTCCAGTTGAATTTCAACTTTTTGTTTCCTTTTAACTAGCAACATAGAAAACTTTCATTTTCAATAATAAAATCTCTTAATCATGTGTCCCTTCTAATTACCTCTTGCTCTATAAAGCCTTTTTTTAAGCAATCTTAAATTTTGTGTATTAAATTAGTCAAACCACCCAGTTTCCACAGACTCATTGTGTATTAACTGAAACTGTGACTCTGGATATTTTATACAATAATTAATTTTCAGTCACCATTTCCTTTATCTCCCTTCAGGATTCAATGCTGCTCTGCATGCCTTGTTTCTCTAGCTCCTTTAGCCTTTAACTTCTTGGTTTTCTGAAGATATTTCCCCTCTCTCCTCTTATTAACTTAAATTCCATTTGTTCTCAATTTTTGACGCCAGCAGACATATGATTTTGTATGCTGTCTTGATTGTGGTTGCTTTTCCTCAGCTGTGCACTCATTGAATATTGGCATGAGATTAGAAATGCTCAATGTGATATAAACCAAGAACTTTCCTGGAGGACTTTCTTGAATGAAGGAAAAAGGCTTTCATGTGGTGAAGGGATCAGTTTGGTCCATCACTTCATTCATTTAAAGTTATCGTTATTTCTAAAGTTGCAGCAACTATGATGTTCATATGCTATAAACAACAGTGAAAACTTCGAAAGAATTTAGCACTCAAAGGGCATGTTGAACTGCTTAACCAAAGAGAGCAAAACCTGTTTTTAGATTGCTTCTAGTAATGTGAAAAAAATAGCTTATAACTTGATCCACTGTAATCCAGATTTTCTGTTAACTGTAGCTGAGTATAATCTATTTCTATGACAGCTCTCCTCAAATTKTCTACTTCATTTCTGACTTCACTATACTTTTCACTAACACATTGTAATGTTTTTCCTCTCCTCTCCCTCAATTTTGGGTGTGACTCAGATCTGTTCTATTTGTTTTATTAGATATCAGGTTATCTCATTTAAAATAATACCTACATATCAAATTCTAGATCTGTAGCTTATCCTTGGAATCCAGAGTAAAATGTCTAAAATTTTATGTGGTATACACATACACAAGCCCCACCTTGGCCTTCAAGTTAACCTGTCAAATTTGAACTCACAATCTTATAATCTAACCCAATGCTGTAATGAACATTTTCATCTTTCTCCAAGATACCCAATATACACACTTACAGTGCTCTTATCTGTCCTTCATGTTCCTTCTTTGGGTGAACAAGTTTTACTTTCAAAAATTTCTAAATACAGTTGCCTTTTCTTCATTCAGATTGTCATTTTTTTTCTATCAGTCTACATATTTTCCCATCTTGAAATAGAAAAGGCCACTCCTTTCATTCATCCACAGTTCTGCCCATTCTACATTATTTTAGATCTTTTTAATCTAATTTCAAATACCATCACAGGGCTTTCTTACTAAGAGCTTGGTATGCCTATCACAAGAATATTCCCAGAGCACATCACAGAAGACCTGAAAGGATATTGGCACAATTTGATTTCAGAGGATATATCTTTAAACAAAATTTGTACCTCTGCCCCAAAGGATAGATCCTTAAATAATTTTTTTTTTTGGTGATAGGGATCAAACTCAGGGTCTTGGGCATGGTAGGCAAGCACACATACCAACCCTCCCATAGATATTTTAACAAACAAATTTATCAAATTGTTCCTGAATAAATTTAAATACTGGTTATTGACAAATACTTTAAAAACTAGACAAKATTAGGAAATATTGTAACAGTATTTTTGTTATGTAAGTTTAAAACTGATATCAGCATTTACTTGTACATGTGACATTAAGTGAAGCAAGGAAGCCTACAGCACTGTGGCTCAACAGTGTGTTATGACTAGAAAACAAGATTGAATAAAACAATACCCTCTGAGAAGGTAGCCAAATGATAATCATTCACAACTCACAAAATTACCTGCCTCAAAAACTAAAATCAATTAAATACAAAATATTAAATCTAATACAAAGATTTAAGTCACTATTCAAAATATTATTTAAAATATGGTTGGAGATGTCATTTATAAATGAAATAAATGTGCAATATATATTCTTCTGAAAAAATATAAACTTTTCTGGTGTATTCAAAAATTTAAATAAAATGTGATTATGTGATTCAGCCTTGTCAATAGGTAAAAACACTCAAATTTATGAAAATAAAAATTCTCCCTTATACTTTATGCAACAACTACAGTGCTCATTAACTGTCCAGTGGCTGAGTTGCTACCAGGAGATGCAAATGTCTCTTTCAGAACACAGGAAAGTTTTGAAAAGGAAACACAATGGGAATTAGGGAAGTTGAAACCGTTTTTTTCCTGTTAAATGTATTGAAAACTATAATTAACTTAAAATAATTTAAGAATGATTAATTTGATTAAAACTGATGAGAAAAATCAAACAAATGCAGTAAGAATTAGAAATATATTAGGGAATTTMAAATATGATAAAGAAGAGATTCTGATTACTGGGGAAACTAAAAAAATAATTAAAAAATCATAGCATTCAGTTGCTAAACATGTAGATCTACATTGGAATCATAAAATTGTCTCTTACCATACATCTTATATCAAAGTAGTACTTATCAGTTGTCTTAAAAGTAAAGGTGAATGATAAAAATTTAATAAAATACATAAGAATTAATTTTTTAAACTCACAGTTAAAAAGTTTTTTCTAGATTCACTCCAAATTGAGAAGCTGAATTTCAGTTTTTAATCATTGCCTGAGCAGAATGACCACACCTGTTGTTGCTGAGAACTGGGGACAGAGTTCTGAGTCCCAGTTGAGGGGAATGTGAAGTGTGCACTCACTCCAGAGGTGATGGGAGTCAGACAGGAAAGTTCTTTCTGCTGTAACACCAGTGCTCTCTTTGAATTCTTTTGAAAAGTAGTAGTCAACAGACAAAATGTATTTGTAGCATTCTTTTGCTGTACTTTGTCTTTCTGCAAATATAAACTAATTGTAAATATACTCCCCATT